ACACACACACACACACACACACACACACACACACACACACACACACTCAGATCATCTAGTATAGCTATGTCCTGTAGGACGCTCACTGATAAACAGAAATGTTCCTTGGATTGTCCAGCCGCCCAGCCACTAGAGCCATGTAGCTCTGGAGCACTTAAAACGCGAGGTGTACAGCCAAAGAACACAATGGTTAACTTGATTTAACTTAAATAGGCACACGTAGCTGGTGGCTGCCATATTGGACAGGAAGTTCTTGTGCATTAAGAGTATGAGAAATGAGGAGGGGCCAACAGAGATGAGGCCTTTACCTCAGAGGAAGCTGGGAGCCTCAGAAGCTGAGCGGGTTGATTCCTGCTGGAGAATATGATGCAAGGAAGACGATGTGCTTGCTGATGTGGGGTTTCGGAAGGAATATGGCAGTTGCTTGTGGACAGCTCGGTCGGCAAGTATTCAAAGGAAAATAAATGGCAGAGAGAAATGGCCGACTTGGCTCTTTCTTTCAGAGAATTTTGTGGTTGTCTAGGAAATCATGGAGCGATTGGACTAGGGGAATATACCCGAGGGCGAAGTGCAAGGTAGCAGCCATGAGTTGAGAGAAAGACTAGTTAGTATGACTACACTTTTCTGCCATCCCTGTCAGCCTGAGAGCTGACACAGAGTACCTGGTGGGATTTAACCCAATGAGTATGGAGAGTGAGGGGCAGGCGAGCCGAAGTGGGGGGTCACAGTGATGGGCCGTAGGCTCCAGCATGGGGAGATGTGCCAATGTTAGAGCAAGAAAAAATGGTGGTGGTGCAAGACCAGCTCGAGACTCAGGAGCTGGCCAGTGGGGGGTGCTTGGTAGAGGTTAGCTCTGTGCTCTCCCTCAGCCCCCTCTTGAGTCTCATTTGCTCCGAGGGAAATTCTTTCTTTGCATGGGTATTTGCATGCCCCAAAATCAAGACTTGTTTTCTTTTCTAGACTGTGGTGGTTAATCAAATTATTCCTCATTTGACAACATATCAGGGAGGCAGTTTCTAGATGAGTTTAATGGAGGTAGGAAGACCCACTGTAAATGTGAAGAACACCATTCCATGGGTTCGGATCCCAGCCTGAATCAGAAGAAGAAAGGAGCCGGGCGTGGTGGCGCACGCCTTTAATCCCAGCACTTGGGAGGCAGAGGCAGGCGGATCTCTGTGAGTTCGAGGCCAGCCTGGACTACCAAGTGAG